TTAGTCTTTGCAACTTCAGGGATCTTATCTATGCACAATCAGCTTGTAACACTCCAAAGAGAAAGGAAAACTTGCAATCGCATCATATGACCCCTTTAAGATTGATGTGGTTTGGAATTTGTAAAATGTGCTTGGTAAAAAAAAAATATGATCAGAATATCAACATGCCTAATAATTATGCACGCACTGTACATACAAACACGAACACAAGCACACACACACACACATACATAAATAAATAAATATGAATATAAATAAATAATCTGCTATAACAAGCGCACACACACACACACACACATACATACATACATACATAAATAAATATGAATATACATATAAATAATCTGCTATAGAATCCAAGGCCACTAGGAGAGTACTACAACCTTTAGAACAAGAAAAAAAACTTTTGGTGAATTAGTTTTTAATAAAAAATAGTTGTGTGCTGTACATAAAGTAAGGGTGTTATTGTCAAAATTTAAGTCAGTCTGGTCACTACGAACGTACTGAAACCTTTGGAACATGAAAAAAACACTTTTGGTGAATTACAGTAATTTTTAAGGTTAATTATTTACTGTATGTACAGTAAGGAAGATATTGGCAACATTTCATGTGTAGTAAGTCAGTCTTGTAACTACAAACATACTACAACCTTTGGACTAGGAATGTACTACATCCTTTTGGTGAATTACAGTAATTGTTTTCTAATAATAATTATGTACTTTACGTACAGTAAGGGAGATATTGACAAAATTTCACCTGTAGTAAGTCAGTCTTGTAAACATACTACAACCTTTGGAACATAAAAAAACACTTTTGGTGAATTACAGTAATTGTTTTCTAAGAATAATTATGTACTGTATGTACAGTAAGAAAGAAATTTCCAAAATTTCACCTGTAGTAAGTCAGTCTCGTAACTACAAATGTACTACAGTCTTTGTAACATAAAAAAAACAATTTGATGAATTACAGTAATCGTTTTCTAAGAATAATTATGTACTGTATGTACAGTAAGGGAGATATTGGCAAAATTTCACCTGTAGTAAGCCAGTCTGGCCACTATGAATGTACTACAGCCTTTGGAACATGAAAAAACCCTTTTGGTCAATTACAGTAACTGTTTTCGAAGATTAATTATGTACTGTATGTACAGTAAGGGTGATATTGGCAAACTTTCACCTGTAGTAAGTCAGTTTGGCCACTAGAAATGTACTACAGTCTTTGTAACATAAAAAAAAAACAATTTGATGAATTACAGTAATCGTTTTCTAAGAATAATTATGTACTGTATGTACAGTAAGGGAGATATTGGCAAAATTTCACCTGTAGTAAGTCAGTCTTGTAACTACAAACGTACTACAACCTTTGGAACATGAAAAAAACCTTTTGGTGAATTACAATAATTGTTTTTTAAGAATAATTACGTACTGTACGTACAGTAAGAAAGAAATTGGCAAAATTTCACCTGTACTAAGTCAGCCTTGTAACTACAAACGTACTACAGCCTTTGGAACATAAAAAACCCTTATGGTGAATTACAGTAATTGTTTTCTAAGAATAATTATGTACTGTACGTACAGTAAGAAAGAAATTGGCAAAATTTCACCTGTACTAAGTCAGCCTTGTAACTACAAACGTACTACAGCCTTTGGAACATGAAAAACCCCTTTTGGTGAATTACAATAATTGTTTTTTAAGAATAATTACGTACTGTACGTACAGTAAGAAAGAAATTGGCAAAATTTCACCTGTACTAAGTCAGCCTTGTAACTACAAACGTACTACAGCCTTTGGAACATGAAAAACCCCTTTTGGTGAATTACAGTATTTTTTTCTAAGATTAATTATGTACTGTATGTACAGTAAGGCAGATATTGGCAAAATCTCACCTGTAGTAAGTCCGTCTCGTAACTACAAATGCACTACAGCCTTTGGAACATGAAAAAAACCCTTTTGGTCAGTTACAGTAATGGTTTTTGAAGATTAATTATGTACTGTATGTACAGTAAGGGTGATATTGGCAAACTTTCACCTGTAGTAAGTCAGTCTGGCCACTAGGAATGTACTACAACCTTTGGAACATAAAAAAAAACTTTTGGTGAATTACAGTAATTGTTTTCTAAGAATAATTATGTAATGTATGTACAGTAAGGGAGATATCGGCAAAATCTCACCTGTAGTAAGTCAGCCTGGACACTAGGACTACCACCTTGAACAGCCGTTTGGGTACTTACAGTAGTATTTTATGAACATAATTGTGTACTTTTACAGTTTGTCAATGTTTTATTTTAAATGTTAAAAGTCACGTTAGTTAAAATACATTGGACGTTTTAAACCCAATCGGTGGAATTGTCAGATGGTCCCTTACGCATCAAGCGCAGCTATAGCACGTCAAAGCTTTCTCCGGTTTAAATTAGCTGCTACAATACACTTAGGCGGTTTTTAAATAATATTTTCATGTCGATATAAAGTTGTTGCATATTGTTAAAACTAATCGTGGTAGTGGTATCTTTGTAGGACTGTCGACTCTATAGAACAGCGGCACGCGAAAGCGAATGTCTGGCGAATATCGAACCTAGAACTAACTTTACCGCGCTCATTGATATTACAAAGTAGTGCTGGGCGGTATACCGGTTCATACTGAATACCGGTGTTTATTGTTATTATAAAAATTTTAAATATACCGCAATACCGGTATGTCGCTTAAACAACGTTTGGAACGCGACACTGTTTGAAAGGAGTCCCTTTTCACTGTTTCACTGTGGTGAGGGCACAGCTGTATGTGTTACTAAGCGTGGAAGTTCAGAAACTGAAGCTGTAGAACTAATAGAACGTGATGACACAGTGCAAAACACTGGCATTTTGAGTTTCTGCTAGTGATTTCTATGGAGAAAAATCACTTCCTACCCTCCAGCTGCATTTCGCGCGTCATCAGAATCACGTGATTGCAAACAACCTATTATAAATATGAGCGTAGTTCGTCTGTTAATATCACATGCACTTTTTTGTTTGTTGTTTATTTTAGTTTGTTACTCAGACGCAGGCAGTGCGCTGCATGAGACAAAAAAGTAATATAGCCAAAACAACCACATAGCCGCTCTTTAGTGTAGATGCATGTTGATTTTATCAGACGATGCCGCGATTATAAATGAGAGTGACTCCTGGTTAACATGTATTAAAAGGGGTCGTGTTTAGTCACTATTTAGTGTGGTATTTTTTGACAATATTCACTCATCATGACAGTAAAATGCATTCTAAGTCAATATACTGCAGTATTTCCTCTCTCAATCAGTAGAGAATATGGTTAACACCCGGTCATGCATGACAAAAAAATACCGTCATGTACCGTGAAACCGGTATAATTTTGAAAAATCCCGTCATATAAATTTTTGATCATACCACCCAGCACTATTACAAAGGTATATTCCAAAGGTACCTGAATGGTTATTTTTGGTGGAAATTCAAAGTGCAAATCCATGCACACTCTAACAGCTAATACTGCCCACAACCTAGTGCATGTTGGACGAGGATTCAATTAGAACTACAAGTGTTTCCTATAAGAAATAATGTGAAAACGTTATGAAATTCTGTATTATAGATAAAAAAGAATACAATATTAACAACATGCTGAAAAGTAGGGCCATTAAAGGTGATGTGACAACTGGAAGTACGCTATTTAGGCTTATTTATTAGAAAAAAATATTCATAGAGTGTCTCTGTGGTGCTGTTTAAAAGTCTTTTTAGACTTCAACCCCAAAATGAAAAGTTTGTCATTTACTCAACCTCACATTATTCTAAACCTGTACTGTATTCACAAATCAATGTTGTCTTAGACCCCAGTGCCTTTCATTGTATAGACGAAAATAGTTCTTCAAAATATCTTCTTTTGTATTCAACAGAAGACAGGAAGTAATAAGGGTTGGAAAGACATATGGGTGAGTAAATAATGTACCAAAAAAGGGGGTGGGGGTGGGGTGAACTATACCTATTTTCATGAGCTATAACTCCAACCAGAAAGGCCAATAAATGAATTAAACATAGAAAGCTGGTAAAGATTTAAGACCTACTGCTGACAAGACATTTCACAAGATCAACAGCCTAGAAACATCCATACAGCCATTGTTTCAAATGGTGTACTAAGTACAATATTATATTAATATCTTATAGCAAACATTCCCAAAATAAATTATATATATAATGCCACTGACAGAACAGACTCAGATTTCCACACCATTTAATTTTTTTTTTTTTTTATGAGAATACCCACAATACCTATTCAAGTCTAACCTGAAATGTACTGCCTACATTTAACAGATCAATGTGTTCAAAGTCCTTTACAGTAAATTTACATATCTGGTTCATGTCAGTCAGAATGAATTCGTTTGTTCTGGCTTTCTTCTGGATGACATGAACTATGTTTTTGAATTTCCTGTGATATGTCACATCTTGATTTGTTATTGCAGAACATTGACGATGATCATTCTTTCCAAAGCATAAAGAACAGAAGACCCATACAGGAATAATTTCTTCATATTAGCAGATATAATCTGTCTAAAGGTGACAGCTAAACATCTCAGCTGATCTTAAACGGACAAAAACATATCGTAAACAATGTAGCTGCAAAACACATTCATGGCAAATTAAAAAATGTACCACAAATCTCAACAGCCATGGTAATAATTTTCTCATTGTTGAACATGGGCTTCTGCTTACAGCAACTATCAAACACGAGACAGATAATATTGACTAAAGCCAGATCAAAACAATATCGTACACAAATCAGCCGTTCGACAGTGTTTATAAACATTTACACGATGATTTACCCCTGAACAGAATATGACAGTGCAGTACACATTTAAACGCCTTTATACATATCGTATACATTCTGTCAGTTTGACACTTACCGTATCTCGGCTGGGTTTAGTGGGGAGGGGAAAAAACTGGAGTAGAAGTCCTTGGTGTAATACTGGCAAAACAGACCGTTCTGTCGATGGCAATTCTTCACAAGTAACTTACACAAAGTTCGCCTGTACCAACTGTCACCTCATAAACTTATTGTTATTCTTGACTTGAATGCTCTGCAAAACTGTCTCTGTTTATATGATACAGCCGAACTCAGAAAACGATCGACCTTTCACTTCTGTACACGTAAATAAGGCGGAATGGTGGGCACGGTGGGGGACTGGAGCGCAACAGTTTCTCTACACGTCCACAGTGGGAATTTACGACTTCTACTACGGCAGAGGCAGAGCTTATAAATATTAATTAGGCCATACTGACGTTGCATGGTAACCTTCGGGCAGCGTCCAGTCACGTAAACTGTTAATATTCATGAGCAAATGATTCAGCAAATCACTCTTGGCTACTGGGAGAACGTCAGATTGCGTCATTAATATTAATGTTTCAAAAATTTACCATAGCAGGACTTTCGTCTCCACAGGAGCGCCATCTGTCGACGCACCGTAATATAACCTTCACCCTGTTCAAAGAATACAGGTAACTATTTCCATTTTCAGTTATACAAAGGTTTACACTTCCTGCATTATTTCTTCGTGTTGTCATTTTCTTTTTTTTATTAAAAAAAAATCTGAAAATCACCATCAAGAACACTTTATTAAAAAGTTTTATTTAAAATATTTTAATTAACAAAAACAAAACAGAAAACAGGCTGTCTATAAAACGGGTCGACTTTATTGCTTAGAGAATACAGCTTACAGCTTTTGCAAAGGCATGTGAATACGCTTCTCAACTACACCTTACCAGTCATCACAAGATATGAATTAACCACACATTCACAACTCCACTTTTACACATTGCACCTGGAAAAAATCTGCTATCAAAACATAGTACAAAGTGAGTGTTACAGAGCGCTCAGTGCGATATGCACCAAAGCACTCACGTCATACAGAGAGCAAATACCATGAGCAGATTTCCGAAGCCTATCTGGTGACTGAATTTTCATAGTTTTTCTATCTTTGGTACTATGAGACAGATTTTATTCTGCACATGTAAATCTTTTCCTTGGAATACTGTTCTGAACACAGGGCAGGTAAAAGCCTATCTACACGTAATCTTTATCCTCACTTGAACTAAAAAGAACCAAAAAGCAACATCCTACATTACAAATCTCATTCTCTGATCTCACGCAGTAGAACAAAGAGAAATACAGAAGCGGGGATGAACAGCTGTAAAAATCACTTTCCAAAACATGTTCCCCAAATGTGTCTCTTTAAGCTATTTTACAAAGACAAATATAAGAGAAATACGCAAATCGCCTAAAACAGGATGCGATTCGAAACGCCGGCTCCTGAATTTAACCAATGACAATTAACATGGTGCGCCTCATGTCACAGCCACATCACATGACTTAACATCCTTCCCACATACATACAGTGAAACTTATGGCAACTGCCTTCAATTAAATCAGGAACAAATGAGAAAGAAAAGAGGGATTTTCAAAAGCTAATAATTCTAGTTAACAAGTGAATCGAGGCAAATATAGCAACAAATCACAGGAGAACACCCATGATCGCTCCTAAACCGTCAGTATGAATTTATACTGGTGATCTGGGATTTAAAAGTTTATATAGAAGAAAACACTGCAGAGGTCCCTCTCTGCTAAGGTTACAGAGAACAGAGTGTGTGTGGGAGACCGAACATGTCTGTAAATATATATATATTGTCAATCTATCTGTGTGCTTCGGTGAAAGCCTGCCGGGATTCACATGTCGTCCTCTTCATCTTCATCCTGGGAAGATCCGGCCTGCTGAGCGGAACTGGCTGAAGCTGCCGCTAGCTGTGCCTGCTGGGCGGCCTGCTGCATCTGTAACCACTCCTGCTGTGCCAGCTCAGCCTGCTGCTGCCGTGCCTGTAAGACAGCAGAACTTCTAAGAAAAGCCGCTTGAAATCACAGCGTTCATGCTGTTACACAAATACAAGGCATAAACTGGAAAGCCACAGAGCGAGAAGTTGATTTAATCAGCTTCGTGAACAGTTCGACATGCTTTTAAAGCTCTTCCAGCATTTTTACCTTGGCAAATAATTCCTGTTGTTGACGGAGAAGTTCTTCCTCAGGTATGCCAAGGTTTTCTAGTCGAGAGCTGGCCTTCCTCCGTTTAAGTGCTACCGTTTTACACTCTTGCAGAACATCTTTTACTTCTGCGATGTATGACCCAAAACCTAGACTTTCAAGTGCTGAGGAAAAATAAATAAATTTCCTGTTACATATATCTGTTGGAAATCAAATGTCCAACCAGTAAACAAAAAAAAAAAAAAATCAACACATTCATACTGTAAATCTATATCATGACTGTGACACAATCTTATCTATCCACCGTCTCTGCAAATCCAAACTACTAAATTAATCTTTAGATTAACCTGAATTAGTCTATGTTAATACAATCTAAGGCCTTAGAATACCTAAAAAAGTTGCAGGTTCAAACCCACAAAGGGAGGGCAGTCCAATCACCATTGTGGATTTGATTTACATATTTAAAGGGATAGCTCATCCATGAAAAAAAAATCAAATAAAAATAAATGAATTTTTTACCCTCGTGTTGCTCCAAACCTGTATGACTGCTTTTCTACTATATGGAACACAAAGATACTGTGAAGAATGTTTCTTTGCATGAAAATGAAATGCATGAAATTTAAAAAGTTTTTGTTCAACACTGCAAAAAAAAAAAAAAATCATGTTTCCAAAATATCTTATTTTGTGTTCGAAAGAAGAATGAAAGGCATACAAGTGTGGAGCAAGCCAAATAGTTTTCATTATTAGATGAATTCCAACCAATCCAACTAGTTTAAGATGGTCCCCCAGACCATCTTCTGCAAGTCTTCAAGACTGAACAGACGAAAATTGCCCAAAACCCCTTTAAAATCAGTCAAATTTCAAGGGACAAGAAATTTCAAAGGGACGTTTGTCCCTTTGCCTGACCAAGGGACAAACGTAGTCAAACTAGTTCTTAAGACACAGTCTTAACATATTAGCTATGTTTATGCATCTGGCCACAGAGTGGAAGAGCAGCTAAGACCAGCAGAGCAGGGGTGCGTTTCTCAAAAACATCATTAGCTAACTAGGGTCGTTAGTTCGGTTTAACTATATTGGTAACAACAGAACTTGCGACCATAGTTGCTTTGGGAAACGCACCCCAGTTTAGGCTGGTTTTCCAATCATGAATTGCATGGAAAATGTGCCAAAGACAGTGAACGGTGACTGAAGCAAACATCCCATTTTGTGTATATCAGAAGCAAGTAAGAAACGAATGAATAAAAGTATGTTAATTCTTGAGTTAACTACCCTTCAATTCAAACTTACTAAGCAAACTTTGAATAAAATCCTCCATCACGTATCCAAATGGATTAATTAGCTGTTAGTGACCTTACGGTCATCAAGAAGTGACATCCTCACCGTTTATAACATGTTCTGGGGATATAGTCTTCTTCTCGGATTTATTGCAGATCTCGTTGGCCTCTGATGAGACGAGGTGAATGAACTCTGTGCAGCAGTTCACCACCAGCTCTCTGGCATCGTTCGCTACTCGCACATTGGGAAGCGTTTCTTTGATCATTTTATTGATCGCCGCCCTCGGGATCGTCAGATCATCGTCGTTGCCCGATGAAGAGGCCATGAGGGATGAGCTGCCAGGCCCCAGACGCTTCAGAGTATGAAGGGAATCGAAAGCAGGCGAGGAAGTTCAATGGGCTGTTAATGAAACAACACCCACAGCGGCGGCTTTGTGTGGAGATTCAAATGGTGTGGTCGGCTTTCTTATAGCAGATCACTAAAACACTGCCAGAGAGAACGCATACTTTTGAATTCAAATTCAGGGAAAGAGTCTGAGTGTGTGACACAAGGAAGGGAGGATGAGAGGAGTCGGTACCTTTCGGTTGATCAGTTTACGCTGACTCTCCACATCCACACATCAGAGCTGCTTCTGCTGCTGTTCCTGTGCGCGTTTATAATCATGATTCAACTCCAATCATTCATTCTCAAGCTGCCTGGATAAACTAACAGACGCCGCGCGCGTTCGGCTAAAGCCCGGGGCGGAATTTTTTAAGCATTCGAAGCTCTTAACTCATTACTTCACCCACTCGGTTAGCGATCAACGAAATAAACCCCACAATGCAACACTTCCGGATATCCGGTGATTCTTCTGCTTGTTATTGTTTCGTGGGGTTGCTTGACACTGCCTCCTACTGTACGAAACGGAAATTATGATCTCGAGACTCTCTTATTACTACCCACAGAAACTCGAAATCTGTCAAACCATTAATATTGTGTATACCCCTGACATTTTGTACTGAAAAAGTACAAAACTGAAATTGCAAGCGCAAGATTAGGGACAGTCACGTGGTTATAGACTATAGTTTTTGGTCCAAGCAGCCATGCAGTTTCTTGAACCTTGTGTTTGTTATGGTTTTCTTCCTTCTTCCTTATGTTATGCATAATTATGTGCTATAATAGCCTAATATTATATTATAATTGGCACACACAGACAAGAGGCGATGCACTCCAAATTATATCAAGTTTAGGTCATGGTTTAGGTTGCTATTTACATAATCCTCCTTGTAATCTTTTAACTGTGTGATTAGGACATTAACTTGAAACTTTTTATGTTTTTATTTAGTAAAGTGCTGCATGTCTTGAAATAGAAATAGAAGAATTGATCAGAATTTGTGGAAAAACTCATCAAATCATCATTCAGGACTCAAAAGTTTAATCTGGATTAGAATAATCCCTTGTTTTGCTCTTCAGGTTCAGGTAATCTTATTTCTGTGCCAGTTTTTCAAAGCAAAGTTGGATTAGATCACCCTGATACACTCGTTTAGATTACCAAATCTGGATTATCTGTGCTCTGGACTAATTATCACAATGTAGGCTACTAGGTAAAGAGCAACAGGTGGAACGTTTAGCGTGGAGTCAGTGTTTTCAATTTGAATATGCAAAAAATATCCAACAAATAACCTGTTTTCATTTTTCAACTGTCAGACCCCTCATCTGACCCACAACAAATAAATAAAACAAACAAATATACATCACAAATACATTGTGGATATTTTGAGCACATATTCTTAATTTAGACTTTTGAAGCCCAGCTTTTAGGAGACCGCTTTCAAGGGTGGCTTTGCAGTAGTTTGGTCAGTGATTTGTTAGGCTACTCTGCCAGACAAATTTGTACTTCTGCTCTTTGAGTTTCTAATTTTAAAAGTGACTTATAGGCATCATCATCATCATCGTTGAGCAAAGAATGCTTCAAGCTTGAGCTCCTGTGGCAATGACTACTGGCTCTGCCTGTAAGGATTCACCTCCATCACCCTCTTCTGTCAAGAAGGCAATTTAGGTGATTTCAGCCCCAATTTCTTTCTGTTATTCACTTTTCCACCCTTAATAGAGTTAAAAGTTCCTACAATTGATGCATAAAGGCATAACACCCCCCAGCAGAGTGTGGGTTTCTCCAACATTGGATCCACCACTCTAGTTTAGTGAACATGGTATTACCGACCTTGAGCATGATTGATTCAATTGAACAGAAGCCAGAGCACATCAGCTAATTGATGTTTAATTGGTGTGTGTTAAAAAAAAAAAACAATTACACAGCCATACTATTTAGCCTTTCTCTGCACTTTCAGTGCTGGGTTGCATCAGGATGGGAATCCGCTGTAAAACCTTTGCAAAATGGCTGTGCAGATAATTCCACTCTGGCAACACCTATGGGAGCAGCCAAAGGAGAGAGAGAGAGAGAGATTGTTCAGCCTTTCTTAAAATACTTACAGAGAGGCACTGACATGTCCTGTATTGGTCTTTGCCACCACTATTTTGGTAGGAGAGGATACCATCAAAGGGCTTATGTTGAGCACACAAAACCACTGGAGCAATACACCATGAACTCTACACTGGAATTTGCTTTGGTAATACTGATATTAAGAAAAATGCAGAACTTGTCAGGCCAAAACTTCAACCTGAAAGAGTGAACCCAAAGGAGTGAACCAGAAGGAGTCACAGTGTGCCTGTGGAACAATGTCTCATTGCTCTTCTAAAAGCACAAATGAACTCTGGTGAAAGCTGTCAATTGCATTGGCCAGCCTGGTAAATTTGTCTAATTTCCAAAGGATGTCCAGATTGCCCACACTAAGCATGAGTTTTATTCTTTTTTTTTTTTTATTCTATTCAACTGTCCGTGATGCACGTATCCTGAGGGAGAGTGCTCTATAGAGTTCCAATCTGATCAGGATAATCTTTTTGGGGTTTTTTGGATCAAAGTTTTGAACAACACCTACAGATGTGGGTAAGTCGTGGCCTAATGGTTAGAGAGTCGGACTCATAACCCAAAGGTTGTGGGTTTGCGTCTCGTACCGGCAGGGATTGTAGGTGGGGGGAGTGAATGTACAGCGCTCTCTCCCAGCTTCAATACCACGACTGAGGTGCCCTTGAGCAAGGCACCGAACCCCCAACTGCTCCCCGGGTGCCGCAGCATAAATGGCTGCCCACTGCTCCGGGTGTGTGTTCACGGTGTGTGTGTGTTCACTGCTGTGTGTGTGCACTTTGGATGGGTAAATGCAGAGCACTAATTCCGAGTATGGGTCACCATACTTGGCCACGTCACGTCATGTCAATTAAACCATGATAGGATGACTGGATCTAATCCAATGTCTGAATTATTATTTTTTTTCTGTTTCTTTTGAACAACCCATGTTCAAGAATTGTTCTAAACTAACACCCGGAAATCCGATTTGAACAACTGGGCCAATAAAATGATAATTTCTGTTATTTGAAGATTATGACAATTGTGATGTACAAACGCAATGCTCTTTTGAGAGAACTGGCCACAAGGTGGTGCTATAACAAGCTATTTAAATTGTTTCTGTAGAATGCAGAAGTTTTATTTAAATTAATCCTTTATTAATCCTCTGAATTAATCCTCAAGTGCTTGTAATCTAATGGCAACATGATGTTTGCATTTTTGTCCTCACCTTTTCCTTATCCTTGCCTGACACATGCATTTGCTATATAGCCCTTCAACTGTTCATGTTCTTCTTGGTAAAAGAACATATCAGTTTAATTCATTACATACATAGATTAATTGGATAATATCCTAAAGTTAAGAATACAATCTGTTCCCTCATGTCCTGACTCTTCATCTTTTGTTTTTGTATCAAGGGATTTATCCAGATAAATTTTGGCAGAGATTAAGTTTTGCTTGGTACTATGTAAGGATAACCTAAAGTAGATTATAAGACTTCAAGATGACCAAAAGAAAGAGAGAAAAGATTAGATGAACAATTAATTTATTCAGATGTATTCAACTGATGGATGGAAAATTAGACTAAGGAAACAATTACCACAGGTAACAGCAGAACTATTATGAACATTTTGCAAACTTTTAGCTAACTCTGTGATTTATAATAAAAGATTGTACAATATTTGGTATTATGTATTATTGCATTTATTCAAAAACAATTTTGCTCCAGAATTCCACCCAGCTGGAGGATATCAAACATGTCTTATATATATATATATATATATATATATATATATATATATATATTTTTTTTTTTATATATTATT